CCCCCTCTTTGCTCATAAGTAGCCCCCCTTCTTATGTCAAAATAAGATCTAATCACTTTTGAATGAAATATGAGTGAATGTGGTTCTAGAATTAAAACAAAATTCCTTGTGGTTTGAAAATTATGGCCTTTGTCCTATGAAGATATCACTGTTGTGAATGCATGAACTTTTTCAGAACTGTTACATGTTTTTGTGTAAGATTGGTTACTAATCAAATTATGTCAAAATGAGTTCAAACCCTTTTTACATGAAAGATGAGTAAGTCTACTTTAAAATTGGCTTTTGGATCATACTGAAATTCTCTATGGTTGGAAGTTATGCTCTTAAAGGTGGACTGTGTTCACTTCTCAAACCAGCAAAATAATTCGAAAATGTTTTTAATGAGCCCTTTGATTTGTGTTTTGCTTTGGACATACATGTGTGCATAAAGTATGCTCTGTGGAGGTAAGAATGCCTGATAATGAGATGGGCTCTGTTATGATATAAAAGCATGTTGTAAGACATGCCTATAAAATGATGAATGTGCATGGTTGTAATAAGACATGCCTATGAAATGTTGAATGTGCATGATTGTAATAAGGTGTACCTATGAAATATTGAATGTGCATGGTTATAATAAGAAATGGCATAGAGGTGATATGAAGCACGATGCAATGGGCTATCTATTAGTAGTATGATATGGTAAGATAAGAATGTGATATGATATGATAATAAAGTTATGTTGGCAGATGAGATCTTTCCCTGACTCCTGATGATAGGAAATAAGTTAGGATGTGAATCATATAGGTGAGTCGCGCCCCCCAATATATGTATAAGTGACACTACACAATGGGTCATCCATTGGTGGTGTAACGCCTTCCAGTTAGAGAGTAAATGAGGGTCGTGTCTTGTAAGGCCACCACCTATCAAAAGCTCCAAAGCGCATTGGGGATTATGTGTGTATGTGAAAACATTACGAAATGGGTCATCCATTTGTCATTATCTTCCCTCCCGAGTAATGGTAGAAGTCCTAATAAATGGGATTGGCTTGGCCAGATGCAAGGGCTTTTACTTCGAGAAGGTGATATTAAGATTGCCTGCAATCATTATATGTTTGCTTGAATTATTGATCTATTACGGAAAGCTTTGATAAAATGTTAGCTCATGTGATAACTGATTTGTGCTTGCTCCATCATGAAAGAAATTACTCATGACACATTGCTAATACAAAAACTTCTGATGCATGATCTCCATGTTGTAAAACCTGCATGAATCTTGGAGACGATTATGAATAACGTTGTATAGGCAGGAATGCTTCGCACTTTGATCTACTTACTGAGCTTTGTAGCTCATCCCTCGACTTTCTTCAATGTAGAGTGATAACTCGCGGTTTGAGGACGGACGGTTGGGCAATCGCGGTTGACGGTTGGAGCCCCGAACTTGGCGAAGAAGCTTTGGTTTTATTGTAGGTTTTAAATGGCAGTTTGACCATATAGTTGTTTTGTTTTGGTGTTATGTAGTTGTTGTTTGGCCTTTAGTGCCTTGGACATATTTGTAATAACCTTGGAGCTCTTGTATATATATATTTTGGTTTTAGTATGCCCAGCTTTTGATGGTTGTGTTTAGAATTTTGTTTTCTTTCGTGTGTTGCTTTGATTCATTCTTTTCAAAAGCTTTGAGCGCACTCCCACTTGAGTGGCATTCTCTACCTTTAGTCGCGGTCCCGTACCCTGTTGCCCTCCGGCATGTATGGCAAAGGGGCAAGAGCGGGGTTGTAACAGAGGTGGCGTCCCGACGATTTTGTGCAGTAAACCCCTCTGACTAAGGACTAGTGGTAGGTGGTCCCCCAAAGCTTTCGGAGCATACAGGAAAATCACCATTATCATTAATGAGCTTTCAGTCTTCCAGTGGTAGTAGCCCTCCCTTCAGGCAGTCTTTATAATACGGAATACTTGATCATCAAAACTAGTTGTCTTTCACATACTAGCCTCCTTGCCCTGCTCTTTCTTTCTGATGAACATTTCCATTTTGCTCATGCTTGTTTTCATCCACTTCGAGGTGGAGGTCCTTTACCTCAAAAGAGTTCTTTATCTCTAACCAAAAGAGGCTATTACCTAGAACACTTCATGTCTATTTCGAGGAGGCAGGGTAAGAACTTGGAAGAGGCACATATCAAAACAAAAAGGGTCATCTTCGGGTTACTAACGGAAAAGGGAAGGCGAATCCAACTCTAAAATCCGAATGGGAATGTAGTAGGACTGGACGAGTACGAGGAAACCGCCCGATCGATGATCAAGGCTGGGCTTCTTGATTCGGCCCCTGAAATCACTCCATCCCGTTCCAGAACCAAGAGTAACTTATTAGATGAACCAATGAAGACAGAGGTAGGGAGTGGTCTCGTAGAATGGAGCTGTGGCGAGCAACATGGAACTTTAATCAATCAAATGGCATAGTATAGGGGGCATTCCTTTGTTAGAGATCCAAAGAACAAATTCTTTCACTTTCAAAGAAATGCAAAATGAGTTGCAAGGAGCTTTTTATGCTTCAAGTCCTTAGCCGTGTCTATCGAGGCTACTCCCACGCAGGTCGTCTGGTAAGTCTTGGCTTCTCCTTTCAGTTGAGCTAAAGACTCGCCCGCTGGTGTCTAAAGACACTACGATCTCAATCTTTATTTCCTTGAATGAGGGGAAACTGGTACCAGGAAATGGATGGATCTCGAAAAAGAAGGAATGCTAGCTTAGCTTCTGCCGGCGAAAATGCTTGCGAGGATAGTTGTTCGCGTAGTAGGGTGGCTGCTCCAACAGATTCACTGATAGAGTTAGCTTGAGCGTCCTATGATTGGCCCGCAGTGCCCCCTTCCAATGCGGTCTATGAATCTTACAATAAAAAGTAAGCAAAACCTAAAAAGCCCACCCGCATAAACCACCTGATGATTCAGGTCAATGTCTACCATAGACAATCATGGATCTACAAAGAAAATGACCGCAAGCCCTAAAGTAATATATCCTATAGTTGATCGTTTTATTTGCTGAGTGCTTACAAATCTGTCAAATCTAAACCTTTTTTAATGTTTCAAATTTCATAATTAAGGTTAGATATAGATTTTGAAATCATCATAGATTGCAAATGAATTTTGGGCATGTTTGATAATGGGGGAGGAAGAAAGAACTTCCCCATTACTCTACGACTCCCGTGTTTGACGCACGAAACTTATACAATAAAGAAGTTCCCCCATAATTTCCTTACTTCCTTGTGTTAAAAACAAAAAGTTCCATTTAAAATGAATGAACATAAAATAGGAGCTTGGCTCTTGAAGACGACTTCTTTCTCGAACCTTATTTTGCCTCCCTCATATTTATATTGTTAATTTATAGTTGTACTATAATAAATCATATTATATATATTTTTTATTTATATTATATCATTTAGAATATATATTTATTATACATAAACATCATATATGATATTACATATTATATATAATAAAATATACATTAATAAAATAAATATAAAATATATTACATTATATATTTGTATTTTAAATTATTAATATATATTTGAATTATATAATAATATAATATATATTATTTATATAATAGATATTTACAATAGAATATATGATACAAATATATATTAATAAAACAAATATAAAATACATTATTAAATATTATATATTATATTATATTTTAATAATATTTAAATAATGTCTAAATAAATATAACTATATTCCACCAGGTTGTCGAACATATGTACCTGAAATCAATGTTGTCATATTCATTTCAAAGTCTTCTTGAATTTGATGAGAAAAATGAAACAATTCGTTGCTTCGATTGATTCGGGGGAAGATTTCAGACCTTTTTTTTTTGTTCTAATTTAATATAAATAAATTAGATATATATATATAATATAAAAATAATGAAAAAATTAAAATAAAAAAATACTTTTTATATCGGTATTTCTTTTTTGACCGAAGCAACCGGAAACTTTGGTTGAAGCAAACGTAAAGCATACCGAAGCAACCTGCAGCGGCCCCAATCTAACCAAAGCTGCAACACCATGCTTCTCTTCGCTTCAATTTATGTTTAAAATCCAAAGGCACCTCTTCAACCAAAACGAATCGAATTTGATAACATTGCCTAAAATTGCTTTTAACATTAACAAGTTATCAAACACAAATACCCAAATCGTCCAATCTTGTCTTCCCAACAAAAAAAACTTCCAATTTCCAAACAACGTTGACCTTTCTAGTATCAAACAAGCCCTTGAGGTACGCAACAACGTTGACCTTCCTTGTATAAAACAAGCCCTTGAGGTACGCCTAGGCCTATGCGAACAACACCCAATAAATAGATTTTAAAAAAGAGTAGACATTAGAAATAATCACTCGGTTATGAAGCAATGCTTGACCTGAAAATTTAAAAATGCTTGGTGTACCAGAGGGGAATATGGCTTTTACAATATATCCATCTTTATCCAAATTGCGATAGTAATCCGAATAAAAATGCATTTGTACAAAGAAAAAGTTCATATAAGGTTGCAACCTTAAATGTAGAATTACGAACGTACCTAAAAAATCCGTCCAAAAAAGGTTGTTCTAGTGTTGAAAAACCCTCTTATTGATCATCTTGATCGAAATCTAGATGTATGAATATGAGAAATTTTTTTTTTTTAAGTCTAAACAATAATGCATCTTACAACACATTATCTGCACCATCCATTTTCAAGATTTTCATATGTTTGTAAATACGCTTGATTTTAACCATTTTTGGAATTTAAAATTTTATAATTAAATGTGAAAATAAATTTTCAAATAATCGCAAAAATTTATTTACACCAAAATTACCATTATAGTAAAATTTTGAAGTGCGCCTTAATTGGATTGTTTAAGGTTGCAACCTTATCAAAACCACACCTTTAGTAAAATGACCCTCGTTCATTTCAATTAGATTCTAATGAATATAATACTTTTAACATTTTCAGACCACATTTTACTTGCAGAAGGACCTTAAAAAATCTCTCAATACGGTTCCAATTCAGGCTAAAATTCAATTAGCCCATTTTTTTATAAACCAAAATCCAATTAATCCTTCAAGAAAGAAGACCATACTGGGTTACTGCAACTCCAAACTCTCACTCCCTTCAAGAAGGTACAAAAAAGTAGGGCTCACTATTGCCTTGGCTCTTATGACATTCAACAAATAGAGGGGAAGATTCAAGAGTGAAATAGTAGCACTGGGGTGACTGCTATAAGTAGTGCTAATTTCTAAAAGGCACATATCAGGGGCATACTATTCATAGTGGCAAATCAACTAGAAAAACCAAATTACACCCCAAAAAATTGCGAAAAGGACATCTACAACGAGGTCCCACACCCAGTGACTGACCCAGAAAAAGCGAATACAAGATCACGCCATTTCACCATATTCAAATTGATGCTGCTTGCTCAGTGACTCTCTCTCTCTCTATCTCTTTTGGTGAGGAGTATAAAAAGCATATATTTTGATTTATTTCCTTGATGCAAATCTCTGCTGTTGCACGACAAGATCATCAGCTGAGTAATAATCTGCAATCAGCCGGTACATATATGAAGGGTTGTGTCCGCCACTGCATCACGAATGTTTATCATATATCAATCAAAACCATTAAGTGAGAGAGATCAGCATGGCCTGGTACTAAAAGAAAGAAATTTTATAGTTCCAAACTTACGTATCAGTTATAAATAGGCTCACAAGTTGTGGAGGCACATAATCAAACGTGGGATTAACCACATGAAGCAAGGGGGCACCATTTCCACTTCCATAATCCATGCAATCTGAAAACTCCCCAAAATCGAGCAGGTCTGAAGGGGACTTGAGATCATTTAGCAGAACCTCAGGGTTATGAGGATACAGTGGGCACAACTGCAAGGACAAAAAGCACAGATTTAAGAAACACAAGGACGAATTCCCCCGATAGTTCCTTAGCACGCTGGGATATAGGATGTGCTTTTTCCTTCTATTTTGGTTGACAACCATCAAAAGCTCTAAAGAGTCAGATGGCCACGATCAGGATTGCCACGCAAATCAGTACAGTTGAAATGTTAACATAGCTAATAATTGTCATATTTTCTGACAAGAGAGGAGAAACTTGAGAACTTTGTTCATCCAGAGCAGTAGTTTTTTTGTAGGTGAAAAAATTAAATGCATTCATGTGATACACTTCCCAATTCTTAGGATGCATTTGTCTTTTATTGTAGATGGAATTTGCCTACTCTGGCTCAAAAAGACGAGATACGTCTAATTTTGGTTTAGGCCTTTAATTTTTAAGTAAAGCACAACCCCAATTGGGATATCCAAACAGCACGAGGGTGGGATAGTTGCTCAGGGCCGTGAAACACCAAATAACTACCGTGTAAAACAATGCCACTGAGCACCATCTAAAGATGAAGATAGTATGATATAATCCTTTTACAGAAGACCAATGTGCATTTGAAGTCCAAACTGCTGGGTCGGAATCATAGACCAGAACACAATATACTTCCAATGGCAAGCTCCAACCTCTCTCCATCCCCACCCATTATTTTATTGCCTATAGGTGAGTTCAATGAAGTATTGTTCGCCATAGTCCACTGGTTCATAATATACTTTCCCTTAAAAATGCTCCCAATGACCTGCTTTGTTGGGTTCGGTGATAGCCAAATCACCTACCCATATTCCATTCTAAATGTTAAGGGTATTATGGTAAAAAAAAATGGACTTTATTGGGGAAGCAAGAAAGTGATCTCTATATAAGAGGGCTAAATAATACATAATATTCATCCTTTTAAGGGTCATCCCTTTGGGGGTTATAGGAAGGGATCTCCAAGGCGGAGATTGGTCTCCAAGAGAGAGAGACATGGTCTCCGAGAGAGAGGTGGTATTCCCATGAGTTTTGGGTTTGTAAAGCTTCTACTTTTAGAGAGAGAAAATCTCTCGGTTGCTTTCGAGCCGAAGTTATCTTTCCAGTAACGGTATTACAGTAGGAAAGAAGGTATTGATAGACGGTGTTGCTCAGTCGGGAGAGTGAGTTTAGAAAGGAAAATTGGGGATGTTCTTTTACTAATGTTTAGAGATAGGTATTATCTCTTGTAACAAAAACTGTAATCTTCATTGTGATAGTAGATTTCTATTCGTTGAGGCCGTGGATATGAACCATGTAGATCATGTGTTGTGGTGGTGTACCTTTTATGTTTGTTTATTTCTTATACTCGATTTATAGTTGTATTCATTTACTTCGCCTGTAGCCAATCATGTACACGATCTTGGTTGGGATCCCGATATTTGGGATTCCCGGTTCCTCGAGCTAGGGGTTTCCGAGAACCCTACAATTGGTATCAGAGCAAAAAAAGTGTACGTCGCTAAGGATTGCATTAAGAAAAAGATGAATGGTGGAGTTTGATGGATACATGGTTTAAAGTAGAGAAATATGGAGGCAAATTTGTGAAAATTCCAAAATGGAGGCAAGTGAAAAGAAATCAAGAAATCTATTCAATGAAAGTTGCCAAGGCAATTAAAGTGATTTTTCTATCAAAGTGGAGATTGTTGGGCTTGGTGATAACCAAATCACCTATCCATATTCTATTCTAAATGTTAAGGGTACTATGGTAAAAAAGAAATGGATTTTCTTGGGGAAGCAAGAAAGTGATCTCGATATAAGAGGGCTAAATAATACATAATACTCATCCTTTTTATAGTCACCCCTTTGGGGGTTATGGGAATGGATCTCCAATATGGAGATGGGGCTCCAAGAGAGAAAGACATGGCATCCGAGAGAGAGGCGGTATTCCCATGAGTTTTGGGTTGGTAAGGCTTCCACTTCCAAAGAGAAAATCTCTCGGTTGCTCTCGAAGTTATCTTTCCGATAGCGGTATTGCAGTGGGAAAGAAAGTATTGATCGACGGTGGTGTTCAGTCGGGAGAGCGGGTTGAGAATGGAACATCGGTGATGGTCTTTTACAGATGTTTAGAGATAGGTATTATCTCTTATAACCCAAAACTATAATCTTCATTATGATAGTCGATTTCTAGTTGCTGAGGCCATGGATGTAGACCTATGGGTGAACCACATAAATTGTGTGTTGTTGTGGTGTGATTTTTATGTTTGCTTTATTTCTTGCACCAAATTTATAGTTGTATTTCGTCTACTTTGCATTTAGCTAATCATGTACATGATCTTGGGTGGGATCTCGGTATTTGGGATTCCCAGTTCAGTAAGCAAGGGTTCACGAGATCCCTCCATGCTTAACATGGAATTCACCACTACTATTTTGTAAAGATACAAATTGTGGGCCCTTGAAAATATTCAGGGGGCATTCACAAGGCATTCACAGATAATGTTTTGTTTTTAATAGGGGAATTCAGCAGGAGGAATTGAACTTTGGATGTAATGCTACAATCTTCAATTTACCAATCAAACCCAAGTATTATTCCAAAATTCATATAGATAATTAATCGTGAGGGTGTTACAACCAGTAAGGTATCCTATATTTTAGTGAGGCTCCAAATTCGTGATCATATGGGTGCAAAATTTCAAACCAATGTTTAGAGGAGCAAATGTAACACTCTTTTCTCACCAAACTATGTCAAGGGTTCAATACATGAATATGGCTTAGAAATTGAACTGCTACAATCCAATGACAACAGGAGCATCTAATGAAAGATGGAAAAAAAAAAAAAAGCAGAAGGGGATCAATCATGGATAACTTAAATTTGTCAGTCAAACAATATATTTCTTTTTCCAACTTGGTTGTACATCAATTTTGATATCAATGAAATTTAGTTACCAATCCATAAAAGATCTTTATCTCTCTTCAGAAATCAGTAAAAACTTCTATGTATCAAAGTTCAAGTCCCACATGCAAGAACCTCTAGTTTTTGGCCCACAACCCTTTATACCAAACCGATTTTCACCAATATTGTCGAAACCAGACCTGATCAGCAGGTTCAAACCAGGAACTGGCAAATCAGTACCCTTTCTGGTCCAGGCCGGTTCCTGGACCGGCTTGTTAATTGAAGTGGTCATGGACAGGTGGACTTGGCAGTCCAATGTCTAGACTGGCCGGTCTGATGGGCAAAAAAGAAAAGGTCAATTTTGACTATATATATATATATATATATATATATATATATACACACACACACACACACACACTACTTACTTTTTCTTTTTCGTTCTTCGTACTAGTACTAACTAACTACACGACAACAACAACCAAACTACTAACCAACCGTAACGTACGTTTCTTTTCTTTGTTTTAGTTAAGTTAAAG